AGAACGAGAACTGGTGACGTCTTTTAAAGATGTGGTTAGAAACTGAACTCTACCTGAAGGTTCAGGGTTGTGTGCTAACAACTTAAATCTTCATATCCTTTCAAAAAAATCAAACCAAAACAAAACAAAAAACCCAGCACATCATTTCTGCACTAATGCACATGCTCTTTGCACACTTCTTAAGGTGTGGGAATTTTTGCAAGTCTCCATTCCTAATAAGAATTTCTGGCATTGTTTTTTTTTAATTTTATTTTCCATTCCTCTAGGAAATTGGCAAATTTATCCATTGGTATTTGGTGAACTCCTAAGATTGATTGATCCTGTGCCATCAAGTCAGCGTCAACTCTTTGCCAAATGCATAGATTTTTTTTCAGGCTAATTCCTCCCCAAGTTGGTTCTCAGATCTTGTGTCTACAGGTAGTCCTCAATTTACGACCACAATTGAGCCCCAGATTTCTGTTGCTAAGTGAGTTTTGCCCCATTTTATGATCTTTCTCGCCAGTGGTGGGATTCAAATAATTTAACAACCGGTTCACTGCCCTAATGACTGGTTGGGTGGGCGTGGCCATGTTGGGCGTGGCCAGGGGGTATGACAGGCAGCACTCGGTCTCCTGCACCCCCCTGGGAGCAAAAACGTGCCTCGTTTTGGGCCTAGGAGCCCTCCCTGCACTTACTTGGGAGCAAAAATGGGGTGCGTGGGCACTCCTGGAAGAGGTGGGGCAGGAAGGGCGGAGCCAGCCAGCAATTTAACTACCAGTTCAATCAAACCATCTGAATCTCACCACTGTTTCTCACCATAGTTGTTAATAACACCGTTGTTAAGTGAATCTGGCTTCCCCATTGACTTTGCTTGTCAGAAGGTTGCAAAAGGGGGATCATATGACCCCGGGACATTACAACCGTCATAAATATGAGTCAAGGGTCTGAATTTTGATCAAGCTCTATTCTGATTGAAGTGCTCAAATTTTGATCACATGATCTAGGGGATGCCGCAATGGTCATAAGCATGAAGAGGCAGTTGTAAATTCCTTTTTAAAATTTTAACTGTGAACGTTGGCTAAACAAACAATTGACTATCTGTGCACAGTTTCCCAAGCTTTTGCTCCTGTCCCTTTTCTCAGCCAGAGATCTGGAAAGCTGATGTCAGGCCTGGAAGCCATCTTTTACCTTTGAGCCTTCAGGCCTGCCATAAATTCTACTGTGGGAAAATGGGAGGGGGGGATTGTATGGAGTGAAGATGATATGTAGTCAAAATAACATTCTTTCCAGAAAGTCAAGACCACTTTGCCCTGCAGCTGTGCTGAGAAGACTAGGGAGGTATCTTCTGTTCTGGAGGGTACCTGATTGGTTCGTGTGATGAACATGTGGGTGCAGGGCAAGGACTTGAACTTTCTTTTGGGTGAGGAAAGCCCAGAAGCTCTCAGATTCGGGTTTTCCCAGATGTGCCATCTCTAATAAAAATTAGCTTTGAGGAAATTCAAGCCTCGGAGTTTGATTTCGTTGGGGGTGTTACTTGGAACCCTGACAGCTGAATTGAGTCATGGAGCATCCAATAAGGAAGAAATTGGCATTGAGCAGGTTCAGACCTGTGAATGAAACCCTGGATCGATGATAACCTATTCTAAATTATCCTCTGGTGCCTCAGTGCCTGGGCTTCAACCAAACCCTGTACACACCTTACTAAGAAATCTAAGGCCCAGTCCATATTTAATTAGTATCGATGTGCAGCATATTTGAATTCTCCTGTTCGTTTAATGTGACGTTGGGATGCTTGAACTCTGGTTACCTTGTCCTTTAGCCCATCGTAATTTCAGTTCTACTTAACTTTCTATGGAATCTCTATCTGGATGATTGCACTTTGCTGCTTGCAATCTATTTCTGCACCGCACTTCCTCATATGAAGGCTTATCAGGCATTCTGATTTGATTGTGACTTTTCCTATCTTTTCTTCCAGTCTTCCAGTCACCATTCGTTTAGCAAGAAAGCCTTGGAAAATATATCTGTAACTTTTGTTTTCCTTGTGGATCTTGTCTAATTTTCAGAGGTTACCTGGGCAAGTACCAACAAGCAAGATTTTTCAGGAGTGGCTTGCCGTTGCGTCCTTCCTAGGGCTGAGAGAAAGTGACTGGCCCGAGCTGCCTTTGTGCCTGACGCTGGACTTGAATTCATGGTCTCCTCGTTTCTAGCCTGATGTCTTAATCACGACAGCAACCCTGCTCTCTTAAGGTCTGTAGCAAAGGGGACCAAAACGAAATTTTGGTCACCACAATGAAAAAAGATGTGGAGACTCTAGAAAGAATGTAGAGAAGAGCAACAAAGATGATTAGGGCACTGGAGCTAAAATATATAAAAAATGGTTGCAGGAACTGGGTATGTCTAATTTAATGAAAAGAAGGATCAGGGGAGACATGATAGCAGTCTGCCAATATCTCAGGGGCTTCCACAAAGAAGAGGGGGTCAACTCATTATCCAAAGCACCGGAGGGTAGAAGAAGAAGCAATGGGTGAAAACTAATCAAGGAGAGAAGCAACTTAGAACTAAGAAGAAATTTCCTGAGTTAGAACAATTAACCAGTGGAACAACTTGCCTCCAAAAGTTATGAATTCTTCAACACTGGAGGTTTTTAAGAAGAGATTGGACACCATGTCTGAAATGGTATAAGATTTCCTGGCTGAGCAGGGGGTTGGACTAGAAGACCTCTAAAGTCCCTTCCAACTCTGTTATTCTATTCTATTCTATTCTATTCTATTCTATTCTATTCTATTCTACTCTACTCTACTCTACTCTACTCTACTCTACTCTACTCTACTCTATTCTATTCTATTTGAGTTATAGGATGAGAGGCTCCCTGCCCTTCTCAGTGGGAAGACTGTCCTCTGTCATCATATCAGGAACTGTTTGAGGAAAGTTTTGAATCTCCTTCCTTGTAATTGCAGTTACATCAGGATTGTAGCAGTAAAATACTTGGTTCTGTGCAGCTGGCCAGAGATAGGTGGGACCGCAAAGTTATTTGAAGTTTACTGTACAAGGAAAGAAGTGAGTCCTTACCCTTTGGACTGCAGAGGTTATAAAAGAGTATATATACTTTTATGGCCCTGTAATAATATGAGGTGGCTACTAAAATAATTCCATCCTGGAATGGAAAGAGTAGACTGCGTATGGTCTTGAGGGACACGCCTGTGTTAATCTTGCAAAACTGTAAAGTGAGGCATGAAAATTTGACCGCATCTAACTTCCCAGCATTTGTGTGTGAGAAATTATAGTGAGTTTTAGGGTAAGGATTGAAGCCATCCACCCACAGGTTTTTTTTCATACGGCCCATGAATGGACCACTCATTTCCATCAGTCTCAACTCAAGTGGCTGTGGAGAAGCATTGCTACATGCTCTCTAAACCAAGAAAGACACACTGAGTTACTTCTGAGCAGTTTTCTTTACTCTTCACCCATAGACAGAAAGCTTATCAAACTAAAGCAAAGGTTTTTTTTTTTTTTAATTTGATTTATATGCCGCCCTTCTCCGGAGACTCAGGGCGGCTTACAATGCGTTAAGCAATAGCCTTCATTCTTTTGTATATTTTATACAAAGTCAGCTTATTGTCCCCACAAACTGGGTCCTCATTTCACCTACCTTAGAAAGGATGGAAGGCTGAGTCAACCTTGAGCCTTGGAGAGATTCGAACCAGCAGAAATTGCAGGCAGCTGTGTTAATAATAGGGTGCACTAAACCACTGTACTATCAAGGCTCTTGCATTTGCATTTCATCAGAGGTAGAAGGGACCTTGGAGATAGTCTAATCCCCCACACAAGCAGGAGGCCTTATTGGCAGTGTTGGAAGCCATATTAGGCTGGAAGCTTCCATGCTGCCACCTTCTCATGTGTGGGAAAGTAGGAGGGGGATTAAGTAGAGGGGTGGTTGGTAGACATAATAGCATTCTTCCTGTTGGTCAAGGTCAAGGCGATCCAGCATCTGGAGAAGGAGTGGTCGGAGTGCTGAGTCGAGATGGGGCGGACGTTGATTGGAGCCTGTGATCGACTGAGGAGTGAGGGGATGGTTTTGGGGGTTTTAATTTACTGAGGGAAAATCCAGACCTCTTAGATTCGGGTTTTCCCAGATGTGCCAGTTTACCTATTCTAGTAAAGAGAACTTTGGAAAATGCTTGCTTCTGCGTCTTTACTCGGAGTGGGGGTTTTCTGGAAGGCTGATACTTATCCAATTTGAGACAAGTGGCCATTCCAGTCTCTTCCTGAAAACCTCCAGCGATGAAGCACCCACAACTTCTGGAAGCAAACTGTTCCGCTGGTTAATTGTTCTCCTCAGTGTTAAGTAGTTTCTCCTTAATTCCAGGTTGCTTCTCTCCTTGATTAGTTTCCATCCATTCTTTCTTCTCTTGTCTTCCAGTGCTTCGAGAATAAGTTGACTCCCCTCTCTTCTTTGTGGTGACCCCTCATACTGGAAGACTGCTATCATGTCAGCCCTAGTCTTCTTTTCTTTGGAGTAGCCATACCCAGTGGTGGGATCCTTCCGGTTTAAGAACCGGTTCGGCGATCGTGCGCTTCACTGCGCGTGCGTGCACAGTTCAACAAAAAACCACCTTCCGCATTAGTGCTAGGGAATTAAAACAGCTGGGGCACGGCAATCTGCTCTGCCACGCTAATCGGCTGCGAAGATAAAGGTAAGTAAAGCACAGGGACAGGTGGGTGGGCAGGCCCAGCTGATTGTCGGAGCTACCGGTTTGCCCAAACCGATCCGAACCTGTAGAATCACTGCTATCATATCTTCCCTAGTCCTTCTTTTCATTAAACTAGACATACCCAATTCCTGCAACTGTCCTTCATATATTTTTGTCTCCAGGCCTTTGATCATCTTAGTTGCTCTTCTTTGCACTTTTTGCATAATTTGCATAATTAAAGATATACTCTGGGAACATCTAGGAAGAAGCTACTTTGACCCTCTTCCCTCAAACCAAAGTATCTAAACTTTGTTGTCTCTTGAAATGCAGCTCCCCTCTCCTGGGAATCCAGACTACGTTCCACCACAACTGTTCCACCAACTCCTGGATTGTTTCAGACTGATCTTAGTGATTTTCTGAGCTATCTAAAAAGGTAAGAGAGCTATTTCTCAACAGCCATACTGTTTGAAAGAAGACAGTTTGGTTGTTCATAACATAAAACCCTCTCTGAGTTCTTGTGATGATTGATGGCAAACAAACGTCATTATTCCTGAAAGCGATTTGGAAAGCATCACTGTTGGAAAAGGCACGGTTGCTTGGAATGCCTCTCTCTAGGAGAGACAGATTTGGGAACCTAACAGGTTGCCATAACAGCTCTATTCAAAAGATAAATATAGTGACGCGTCTGAGACCAGAGATGGGGAACTATGGTCCTTTTTTGATTTGTGGACTCCAACTCCCAGAATTCCTGAGCCAGTTCAGGAATTCTGGGAGTTGAAGTCCACAAGTCATGAAGGGTGTCAGGGTTCCAAATAATACATCCATTGCAAGCAAAACTTTCCGAGGCAGGTGAATTTCTCAAAGAATACCTTTATTGGAAAGGTCATATTGGCACATATCTGGTGAAAACCAACTCTGAGAGGCCTCTTGGTTTTCACCTAAATAAAAGTAAAAGTTTTTCCCTCAACCCCAAACAATCAGTCACATGGCCCGATCACGGCAGCGTCCGCTGGTCTGGTGACATCACTCCTCCTTCTCTTGGGGGAAGTGTGAGAATGTCCTTAGTTCCCAGGAGAAAATCTTGAGAAAGTATTTTATTTTGACTACACAAGCCCAGCTATCTCTAATCCCCCCTCCCTATCCTCACTCCAGTGTGGCAACACTGAAGCTCCAAGATGGCTTCTCCCAGGTCAGCTTCAGGGTTGACAAAGAGATAATTGTTCGCCACTCCTGGTTTAGGCTCATTGAAATGACTATAAACATTTGTTTGTTTGCTTATAGGGCTTATGGACCACAATAATCAGAACCAGCACTGAGCATTGTACAAATTCCCCCTATCCATAATTCAGGATAAGGGCAGAAGACAATATCTACCTATGTGGGCTACTCAGTAAAATTTCCTGTAGAAAACCCAGGAAGGAAACCCAAGTAGAACTTAGGTTCAGTTGCACAGTCATTTGTATTGTACATCTTGTTTAATTAACCTGATCTTCATTGAGTTCCTAAATGACAAAAGGAAATCTCTAGAGCAGGAGTGTCTGTGGTTTTGGCTTGCCTGAGCTGCATTGGGTGAAGAGAATTGTCTTGGGTCACCTCTAAAATATATTATATTTGCAGGTATAATAAGTGCACGTCATCACGTTTAAAGTTTACGATCTTGTGAGGTTGCATTACCAGCTGTCCAGGTTTTGCGTGTGGCCTGTGGATTGGACACACCTAGTCTAGGATCTAGAACAGAGGTGGGGAACGATGGCCGTTTTATGACTTGTGGACTTCAACTCCCAGAATTCCTGAGCCAGCCATGCTGTTGACATTTATAAGTCATAAAAGGGCCATTGTTCCCCGAAAATTCCTGGTATAGACGAATGCTATTCTACAGGAAGAGAGATAGAGAAGGCATTTCTAAAAGAAGAAGATATCCGTGATCCTATCAGGAAGGAAGTGCTTATGGGGAGAAGGATCTCCAGAATTCTGGTCATGAGTCCATGAGGGGCCTTTAAATGTGAGTGTTGTCACCTTGAATGACACCCAAAGGCCAAATGATAACGAGCTCCTGAAGCAATGGTATAATAGGGCTCAGTAGAGAGCACCATTGAATTCTGGAGCACCTATGGCTTCTGAATGGTCTTCAAGGGCCATCCCATGAAAAGACACCTTTCAGTAATCTAGCAGAGAGATAACTAAACCCCAAGTGACATTGAGCAAAGCTTCCTGCTCCAAAAGAGGTTGTAAATTCTTTGTGTGTCCAATCACATTTGGCCAATAAAGAATTCCATTCCATTCTAATTCTAATAATTCTAATAATTCTAATAATTCTAATAATTCTAATAATTCTAATAATTCTAATAATTCTAATAATTCTAATAATTCTAATACCCTGTTTTCCCCAAAATAAGACATCCCCTGATGTCAATCCAATTGGGCTTTTGAGCACATGTCAATAAGGCCAAACGCTTATTTCAAGGTTCAAAAAAATATAAAAAGAAGATAAAATTTACTCCACAGTTCTTTTTGTTAGGTATAATTACAGATTGTACTGTTATAGAGACTAAGTTGATTTTAAATTTAATAACAGCAGCCAGACTTTTTGGTGGCGCAGTATTGGAAGAAGGAAGACTTGCCTACTACTGAAGAATGGACATTAAAAGTAGTGAATTTAGCAGAGATGGCTAAAATTTCAGCGTATTTGAAGGATCATTCAAATGAAAGATATATATCGGCATGGAGAAGATGGATTGACTATATTCAAAACAAATATTGGACTAAAAAGTTTCAAATAGCTTATGAATGAAACTAACTTTTTCTTTTTGAATTATGTTTTGTTAATTGAAAGGGGAGTTAAAGAGCAAGACGGAATTTGGAGCCTACAGAAAGTTAGCATATTTTAGTTTATGTTTGTTAAATGCTATACCCTGTATTTGCTCTGGGAAGTCTGGGGTAGGTGTAGGGGGTTGGAGGGAGAGGGTGGAGGGGGGATGGGGAGTGGGTGGAGGAGGGAGTGGGGAGGAGGGATGGGGAGAAAAATTGTTGTAATATTTGATAAAACTTTTTAATTAAATATATATATATATATATAAGACAGGGTCTTATTTTTGGGGAAACACGGTAATTCTAATTCTAATTCTAATTCTAATTCTAATTTTAAATCTAATTCTAATTCTAATTCTAATTCTAATTCTAATTCTAAGTCTAGTCTAGTCTAGTCTAGTCTAGTCTAGTCTAGTCTAGTCTAGTCTAGTCTAGTCCAGTCCAGTCCAGTCTAGTCCAGTCTAGTCTAGTCTAGTCTAGTCTAATCTAGTCTACACCAAAGGAAGCTGTGTGAAGGTACTCTTAGCGATAATGGCCACTCATGTTTCCTGTTCTCTCCTAATTTTCCATGAAGATAGTCCCAATTTTAGCTATGGGTTTTTATTTTGATTATCTTAGAAATTGTTTCCTGCTTTTCCCCTTTGCTTTGAAATTTAAAATTAGAAATTATTATTTTTTCTTTCCGCTGGTTACAAATCCAGAAATGGAAGGAGAAGAAAAGCATTCCTTGTTTATTATGATTGACTTATTACTTGCTGTTTAAATGAACACTGTGAGCATACACACCAAAGACCCATTCCTTGTTTATCCAATCATGCTTGGCCAATAAAGAATTCTATGATCCTCAGAGTAATGGTTCTCTTTAGAAAAGTTTGGGCTGAAATGAGAAATTTGCTTCCACGTGGGCTCAGATCGCGCAAGGGACTGTTGCTTTAAAGAACGATGTTCATTAGCAGAAGGGAAGAGAGAGCCAGGAGAAAGGATGCGACGGTTTGATGGGCATCCCCTGTTGTGGGTTTTGGAGTGGAAGTCTTGGGCTTGTCAGTGGTAGACTTGGGCTTGTCAGTGGCAGACTCGGGCTTGTCAGTGGCAGACTCGGGAGGCTGGGGCTTGTCAGTGGCAGGACTCGGGAGCTGGGGCTTGTCAGGGCAGACTCGGGAGGCTGGGGCTTGTCAGTGGCAGACTCGGGAGGCTCAGCAGCCCTGGATTTGGGTCGATTGAAGAGTTTAACTAGGAGTTGATTGTCGGGCAATTCATTGCTCCCAGAGACCAGTGCTTTGCCACCTTTACTTTCTATCTTTCCAGCTGGTGAAGAACTGCATTCAATGTTCACATTGACTTTTATAAAGGAATTTCCATTGTTGCTCCCGAGACACTTGGAGGCCTGATAGCAGGATTTTATGATGGTAAAGCTGCTCACTTTTCCTAGATAAAAACATTCAAGAGAAGCAGTCATGGAAATGCTGGCAGAGAGGAATGGTCAACCCCATCTTGGGCAACTTTGAGACTTGTGGGTTTCAGCTGTGCAAATGCCTCATTAGGTCTTTATATAGGAGCTGGTTTGGACTTCGGGACTGAATTCATTCATTTTCTAGGTTTTCATTCTCCATTGAGCAAAAAGGGAATTAGTCCTGCCTTAGGCATGAAAGCTAGCTGGGCCAATCACAAGGAGACTGTGAGTTCTAGTCCTGCCTTAGACAGGAAAGCTGGCTCGGTGGCTTTGGGCCAATCACCAGGAGACTGTGAGTTCTAGTCCCGCCTTAGACAGGAAAGCTGGATGGGTGGCTTTGAGTTCTAGTCTCACCTTAGGCAGGAAGCTGTCTGAGTGGCTTTGGGCCAATCACTAGGATATGGTGAGTTCTAGTCCCATTTTAGTCATGAAAGCTGGGTGGGTGGCTTAAGGCCAATCACCAGGAGATGGTGAGTTCTAGTCCCACCTTAGACAGGAAAGCTGGGTTGGTGGCTTTGGGCCAATCACCAGGAGACTGTGAGTTCTAGTCTTGCCTTAGACAGGAAGCTGGCTGGGTGTCTTTGGGCTAATCACTAGTAGACAGTGAGTTCTAGTCCCACCTTAGGTATGAAAGTCAGCTGGGTGACTTTAAATCAACCAACAGATTTCACGAACGAATGCTAAAATCTTAGGTGATGCTGGCTGGGGAATTCTAGGAGTTGAAGTCCACAAGTCTCAAAGTTGCCCAAGATTGGACATCCTTCTGATTGAAAGCTTGTAATATCTCTGTTATCATCCATAGTCACCAAGGAAGGCTTCACCTCATTAAATTCATCCATCCTTTCTCGGGAAAAGAGTCATAATAACTCCGGAAGAAAACAGATGTTTGGGCCTGGGGTGGGTGGGGGAAGTCTTTTTGCAATTTGGAGCGAAGAAAAATGGTTTATTGATTAAAAACAGATAAAAGGGGGAGGGCAGGTACTTGCTGGCAAAAAAAAAAAAAAAAACCTCACCTATTATGGTTTCCGTTAGGATGGTAGCACAGGTATCTTGGCCTTCGCTACACCGCTTTAATTTGCCAGTACAGTCTTTCTGCAAACCAGAGCAATGTTCACATTCTAGACAGGTTCCTAGAAAAAGAAATTGAGGGAGGAAAAAGGTTCATAATGAATTAG